TTGAAAACAATAAAAATTTTATTAAAAAAAAGAAAAAAAAAAGAAAAAGAAAAACATGCATATATACACATGTGGCAATAGGGAATAACCATAACCGATGCTATTAAACGCTGCTAGGAATGTCTGTTTGTTGTATATTTTGTAAATCATCTAGTTACCTAGCAACAGATTCTGATTTAACTTCTGCTTCCTCTTGTTTAAATTATGGGTGGCAAACATTACTGAATTATAGAGCACAACTTGATTCCATTTGTTTGATCAAAACAAACTTTTGATCTATTCTTGATGATGCTGGAGAACAGAAAAGTGGGGAATTTACAACCCAAAGCCTATTCACATAATACAACATTGCAGGCCATAGTTTTGAGCTACACAGGAAAGAAACTGGGAACTGATGAAGATTTGTTAATAACAGATCTTCTGTTAAGGAAGATGAAACAGATATTTTCAAAATAGAAGTCCCTTTATTTCATCCAATATTATTTCCTTTCACCCCAAACTTGAGCATTTTCATTAGCACTTAGGTCTATAGGTGTATAGGTGATGATGATAAAGGCAATCATGATAATACAGGTAATCCTCAATTTATGATCTCAGTTGGGACTGGAATTTCCATCTTTGCAGTCACATAAGTCAAGTTATCACATGACCACACTCGCTTTTACAATCATTTTACAATGGTCATAAGTCGAGTCACTATGGTTGTAAGTTAAGTCATGTGATTGTAAGTGCAAATCCAGATTAACTAATACACTTTTGGGGGAAACTGGCAAAAAAAAGTTGCAAATCAATTACGTGATCACAGCCAAGTGCCTGAATTGTGATCATATGATTATGGGGGCAGGGCAAAAGTTGTAAGTTCAAATTTAGGTTGTAACTGATTTTTTCAGAGGCCATCATTAATTCAAACCATCATTAAGCAAATAGTTGTAAGTCGAGGACTATGTGTGGCAGCAGCTATTACTAGTGTTACTATTAATGGTATCAACATAGTTTGTGAAAGTTGATATAAACACTGGTGCATATTTGCATAAGATATATGAATTCTGAGCACCAAAAAACACAATTTAGTTGACATTTCAATTGCTCATCAATAATATGAATTAAAAATAACTGAAGTAAATTTACAAAAAAATCGGTATTCTTTTTTTTTGTAGCCCACACCTGAAATTCAACAACCTTACATTGATTTCAACTCATGGCCTTCCAGGGAAAGGTGAATCAGATAATCTGCATAAGCGATTTTTAATCAACAGGTTTGTTTGGAGCATTTTCAATACTGCCAAAAAGACAAACATAAACATTATTTTATAATGGTAAAATATACTTCTGATGCTATACAGCAGGGCTTTTCAACCTTTTCACCCATTGTACCACTTTTAGGATATGGCAATATCCGAGTACCACCTAGCAAGGTGTCAAAAACTTGATGACCCCCCCCCAAAAAAGGAAAAAAGTGATAAAGTACAGGTAGTCCTCGACTTACAACAGTTTGCTTAGTGACTGTTCGAAGTTACAATGGCACTGAAAAAAGTGCCCCCCAAGGCATAGCCTGGCGGCGCTCTCATTCCCCTCTCCCGCTACCACTTTTCTAGGATGGTCGCGTACCACCTGCCAGGTGCCAATGTACCACAGGTGGTACCCGTACCACTGGTTGAAAAGCCCTGCTATACAGTACATTTATATAGTAATGAGTTAATTAAATTTAGTTCTAACATTTGCACTCCCCTTGTCATGGATTTCAGGTTTTGCCCTTTGCTAAATCACTATCCTTGTTTTGCTTTAAAAAAACTATAGCGATGCCTTCAGTAATCCTTTCCTCTTCTTTTTAGCAAAAGTAGCAAAAAAGGAAAAAAAACAGAATAGAGATGGGATAAGAGGAAGCTATTCTAGAAATGGGTGAAGAAAACTGGGTGGAATTTAAGCTAGGCTTTGTTTATGCTAGGGGTGTCCAACCTCGGCAACCTTAAAACCAGCCAGCATGGCTGGCTGGGATATTCTGGGAATTGAAGTCCACAAGTCTTAAAAGTTGTTAAAGTTGCATAACCCTGGTTTATGCATTACAGGTTTGTAATAGCTGTGTCTGCAGTAATCTGTGTCTCTTGCTATTCCATTATTTTCTTACCAGCAAATGTAGAAACCTCCTACTGCTTCATTCCAATTCATGTGTTTTCCTGTGGGGTAATACAATACCTGAATCAGAATAGAGCTGGAAGGAACCTTCAAGGTCTTCTAGTCCAACCCCCTGTTCAAGCAGGAGACCCTATACCATTTCAGACAAATGACTGTCCAGTCTCTTCTTAAAAACCTCCAGTGATGAAGTACCCACAACTTCTGACAGCAAGCTGTTTCAGTGGTTAATTGTTCTCACTGTTAGGAAGTTTCTCCTTAATTCCAGGTTGCTTCTCTCCTTCATTAATTTCCATCCATTGTTTCTTGTCCTGCCCTCTGATGCTTTGGAAAATAAGTTGACCTCCTCCTCCTCTTTGGAAACTGACCAAACAGAGAAGCAACCTGGAATTAAGGAGAAACTTCCTAACAGTGGGGACAATTAACCAGTGGAACAGCTTGCCCCCAGAAATCGTGGGCACTCCATCACTGGAGGTCTTTAAGAACAGACTAGACAGTCACTTGTCTGAAATGGTATAGGTTCTCCTGTTGAGGGAGCTTCCAGTGTCCCACTGGGACGATGCATTCAAATATTTCAATTTCTTTACATTGCTCAAATATTTGGATGTATCCTTCTACCAGATTGTTGATAGTTCCATGAACAAGATGTTAATCCAATATTGAAGAAGATTAGAATAGTTGGCTGCAATACCCTTATTTCAGACTGAAATACAATGCTGGAGTTGATGATCGGCATAGGGAAATGGGGCTTGGTGAGAAGTCCCTCCCGCGAAAACTGTCTCCCAACACCTCCCAGCTGAGGGTGTGCAGGTTAGATTTTCAGTGAAACACAAGATTGGTAATATTGTGGATTTTGAAGGAAAACCCATTTATCTTTAGGAAAACAGAAAGTGACATGATGAATGTTGAAAATGAATGATGAAGGAATGTTCTTCTGTAGACCTAAGGAAAAGATCTGGAAGGCTCAACTAGTCAGGTCCCTCATTCACGGAGCAAGGAGATAGTAAAGAAGTGAAGCCTTTATTGTAAATCAGTGTAAGATGACTATATTTACATAGAACCTTTATATAATAAAATACATGTTTAAAAAGAAAGCTATTTCTTGTCCTTTAACCCTTTTTTAAAAAAACAAACAAACATGTATATGACAAGATGTTTACCTCCAGTATTCCAAGCTAGTTTAAGAACTACTATGTCAAATATTTATATCACTTTTTCTCCAGACGATTCTCATTCAATCTGATGGAAAATAAATTGCTTTTATTTAGATTTTTAAGAAGAGATTAGACAGTCACTTGTCTGAAATGACATAGGTTCTCCTGCTCAAGCAGGGGGCTAGACTAGAAGACCTCCAAGGACCCTTCCAGCTTCCTGTTCTGTTCTGTTCTGTTCTATTCTTCTTTTTGGCAACCTCTCAAATACTGGAATACTATCATATCCCCCCAGACCTTCTTTTCTCTAGACTAACCAAACCCAAATCCTGCAACCGTTCTTCATATGTTTTTGTCTCCAAGCCTGTAATAGTTGCTCTTCTTTGCACTTTTTTTCCAAGTCTCAACATCTTTTTTGTAATGTGACCAAAACTGGATGCAGTATTCCAGGTGTCGCCTTATTAAGGCTTTATAAAGCTGTACTAATACTTCACGTGATTTTGATTCTCCGCCTCTCTTTATACAACCAAGGATTGTATTCGCTTTTTTGGCTACTGCCACACATTGCTGACTCATTTTTAAGTGATCATCCAGTAAAATTCGAAGGTCCCTCTCACAGTTACTGTTTTTAACCAGGTTTTGCCTAATCTGTACTCGTACCTTTGGTTTTTCCTGCCTACGTGTAAAACCTTTTTTCTCCACATTAAATTTCATTTTGTTGGACTGGACCCATTGTTCAAGTCTGTCAAGATCTTTTTGGATCCTGAGCTTGTCTTCTGGGGTGTTGGCTATTCCTGCCAGCTTAGGGTCATCTGCAAATTTGATGAGTATCCCTTCTATTCCCTCATCTAAGTCATTTATGAAGATATTGAAGAGTACTGGGCCTAAAGAGAGAACTTTGTGGTACCCCACAAAGTGAAAATGAGAGACAGAGAGGTGGCCTCCCTTTGCATCTCACTGAGTCACTGGGCCACCTGTCCATCTTCAGCTGGGCTGCTGGGCTCTCAGCTGGGACACTGGGCTGCTTCACAGTTGGGTCACCTCTCAGTTGTGCCATCTCTCAGTTGGAACATCAAGCTACCTCTTTAAAGGATTTTTTTTCCCAAAATTTTAAAAATTCTAGAAGTTTATTTTCATAATTGCCAAAATTCAGAAGATGTTTTAAAAAGAAAATTAAACTGAAATTTCTATTCTTAGATGTTAGTCTTCTAGAATAGTAGAGTAACAGAGTTGAAGGGACCTATACTCTTTTGGAAGCCGTTTCACTGGTTAATAGTTTACACTGTCAGGAATTCTGGGAGTTCTGAGTTCTCCTTTTAGTCCCTTCTGTGAATTAATGTTGATGTTGCCCTCTTGATATAGTTTGCAATCCACAGATATATTAAAAATGATAGATGAATAAAATTTGAAAATGAAAACAAAATCCCAGCTGAAATAAAAAAAGAATAGTATCTCAGCTGAGAGTAAAAAATGAAATGTCAGCTTGTTGTTAGTATAAATACCGTTCCTTACTATGGACTTCAGTAAACTTTCTGAAAGGGAACAAGAGGACTTGATCTATTATGGGATGTTAATCAATTGAGCAGAATATAATTAATAATTATATACAATTACTAAGATGAACTTGTTTCTTCACAGTTATTGTTTTAATGAGGATGATTATGCACTGATGTCACTTGGTTCATGGATTAATGTTGTGGCTGGAAAAATGATTGCTATAAACAGATCTGCAAAACATGTAATAATTTCCAAGGGAAAAAAAGTGCTATATGATCATCTCATTCTCTGCACTGGCCAACAGTATCAGGTAAGTCCAAATATTAAGTCAGCACTCCTATACCTAGTTAAATGGGAGAAATTTCCATTGAACTCAGATTAATTAATTTATACTGCGTATATTATAATATGTTTGAAACATAATTTGTTTTTTCACATCCAAAATATTTTTAAAACTTATTTTTTAATCCTCTTTTTAGTAATATACCATGTTCAAGACTGTGATTCCATGCTTAATTGAACAAATAGTTTAAGAAATAGTCTATAAGAATAAAAAACAATGACTGTTAGTAAAAATTATCATGACTGAATTCAATATACTGTAAGTAGTTGTAGTTTGTAGCTTATTAGAAATCTTACAAAAATCTCAGAACGAGTCTCAGATTTAGATAATCTATCAACAAATGAGAGCCTATACTACTAAGTTCAGTACTGTTGCAGCATAAGAAGCATAAGAATTTGTCTTGGATCTAATTTGATTTATTTGATTTGACAAATCTTGCAGCGATGGAATTCCAAGGCTCCTCAACAAACTATTTATTCTTAGTAGACAACTAGTGATCCCTGGATCATTGTTTCAGAGATAGATATTTCCTTACCAGATTCCTTCATGTCTTCAACAAAGGCAGATTTTCTAATGTATTCCTTTCATTTTCAAATTCAAGGAGATTCAGAGATGTATCTGCTTGTATCTGCTTGGAAATTGTATAGCACAGTCAAACATCAGGGGTTGACCACAGAAAATGTTTTATGACATTTTGTATTATGTCATAAAATGTTTGATGTTAATTTTTATGTCATAAATTATGTCATAATTGTCATATTTCAATATCAGATTATTTTATCTTATGGGCCCTAGAATTGTTAATGATAGGGCATTGTTCTCAAGTGAATACACTGGATGTCAATTTCTCTTCTCACCCGTATGCCAGATTCCCTGGCTGACTCTTTGTGAGATTATAAATGGAGGTTGAACAAGAGGTTTGGCTGAAGTGCTGAGGAACTGAACACTTTAGTCTTCTTACTATGCTACATCGATGACCATAGCTCAAATGGCTTTTAGAGTTGAAAACAATACGGTTCTCATAGGGATAGATTTCTTCATCCCTGAGGTAGGGCCACTGCCTCATGTATATATTTTTCTTGAAGAATCTTTTTCTCTGCTTGTTGCAGAATGGTAATGTGATCCCAGCCTTCCACGTTATCAAGATTACTTGCTTTCTTTTAGTCCAGCAACATTGCCTTCTGTTCTCCTCCAAACACTGTCCTAGGGTTGTAAATAGATGTTCTTATCACCCCTATACGTGGTGCAGAGAGATGACAAAGAAGAGCAAATTGTTTCTTGTGATGGTGGTTCTTTGAATAGCCATTTGTGAATTCACACAATCCACTGTCTGCCTTTTACAGATACCAGAATTTAGCAAGCATTCCTTGTTTTATGGGCTGATATGACAGGGAACTTAGGGAAAAAAGAATGACAAATGTGAACATTTTTTAAAAAGAAACCAGGGAGGTAGTTTTCCAATTCTTGTACTTGAAAAAGCTGGTTATGCCTCTATAACAGACATGTCAAACACAAGGCCCGGGGGCCAGATGTGGCCCGTGAAGTGGTTTCATGTGGCTCGCGAAGCCATCCTGGAAACAGGGAGGGAACGGCCCCCTCTGCCTTAGTCCTGGCCCAGGCCAGCCGGGAGCCAATGTACAATTTTGTGGTGGCCATCTATGCTGAAACGTATTCAGCCCCCCCCCCGGATGGCCTGAAAGGAACAGTGAGGCTCCTCCAGTGGACCATGCCTTGGCACTTGCCCTGGTCCCACCCCCTTCTGCCAGAGACCCTCAGATCTATCCCACTCCTGCCCAGGCCCCCACAGGCACCCTTGACGCGAATGATGTAGAGCTGGTCACACCCACCCAGTAGGCCACACCCACTCCATCCACGCCCACCCCGTAGGCCACACCCACCTGGCCCCCTGAAGGCAACCACAATGCTGATGCGGCCCTCAATGAAATTGAGTTTGACACCCCTGCTCTATAACATTAGTTTAAATAGAAATGTTTTAATAAGTGAAACAGAAAAGTTATCCTTTTATTGCCTGCATTCACTCCTCCACATAATCACCTTCATTTGTTACCCATTTCTGCCAACAATGGACAAGCTTCTTAAAGCCACTTTTCTTACCAGATCCTGACAGACCTTTTTATCTTTTCATTTTAGTCAAACAGATGCTCACAAAAATATTCCATTAGTTTTGGGGAAATGTGCCATGTGTATAGCAAATAAGGAATGTTGGTGAGTTCCAAAGGTCTCTTGTGTGGCCTAAAATTGTCATATTGCAGCTGAATTTTCTTCTTATGAAATGCCAGTCTTGAAAGCAATTTCGCTTTGAGTTATTCATCAACTATCTTTAATTAATTCATCTTAAAGTGCACTGACTCAGAGTAACTGTAGAGTTACATGTCAGGAAAAATAGGAACACAACCGTTTCTCATTACAGTCTCTTGTCAATTTAAAGAGAATAACAAATGCTAAAGCACATGACAAAGCTTCTAGTGCACAGGTGTCAAACTTGATCGCGTCACATGATGTATTGTGACATATTGTGATGTTTTTTGCCTTTGTGGAGTCGGGGTGGGCATAGCCTGCGTGTGATGCATCCAATCCACAGGTCGCCAGTTTGACACCCCTATTCTAGTGCATCAGTACTGCCAACTAAGAACACTGAATGCATTACTTTTTATTCAACCCTTGCAATTTTTCATGAAATGTCTTCAAGCAGAAGTTGTTCCGAAGAACTGGGTGGAAAATGTTAGTTTTAGCCAATTGTTTTGTTTGTTTTGTTTTTATTTTGCTTCATCTCAGCAGGTGGTGGACACTGTTTCTCTGGAAATACTTCAGCAGGGGCTTGACAATATCCATTTACAATAGTTTAATAAAGGGCTCCTCAAATTTTCTTTGCATAAGTTGCATTTTTAAAGTGCTTTGATGCAATTACCAAAGTGGTTGCTGCAAAGGCAAGATTATTCACAAATTATACTTTTTATACATATTTTCTTTCATAAGAATAAGAAGTAAGGCAAAACAAGGAAAAAAGAAAAAAAATAGCAGAAAATGGAGAAGAAAACAGAGAAGTCTGGGAAAGGAAGGGAGTAAAGAAGAAATTATGATAAATAGAAGAATATTTTTTTGTAATGCTTCTGAATGAAGGAAATAACTTAATTTTTTTGAAAAAGAAAGTGGTATGTAAAGGAAACTCAATTTGACACAAAAAGTTCAATTGTTCTCCATATTTCTTATCGTAGATCAGACATGTCAAACACAAGGCCCGTGGGCCAGATGCGGCCCGCGAAGTGGTTTCATGTGGCCTGCGAAGCTATCCTGGAAACAGTGAGGGAACGACCCCCTCTGCCTTGGCCCTGGCCCAGGCCAGCCGGGAGCCAATGTAGAATTTTGTGGTGGCCATCTATGCTGAAACGTATTCAGTCTTAGCTCCATAAGCCCCCACCCACCTGAAAGGAACAGTGAGGCTCCTCCAGTGGACCATGCCTCGGCACTTGCCCTGGTCCCACCCCCTTCTGCCAGAGACCCTCAGATCTATCCCACTCCTGCCCAGGCCCCCACAGGCACCCTTGACGTGAACGATGTAGAGCTGACCACACCCACCCAGTAGGCCACACCCACTCCATCCACACTCACCCAGTAGGCCGCACCCACCCTGGCCACACCCACCCAGCCCCCTGAGGGCAACCGCAATGCTGATGCGGCCCTCAATGAAATTGAGTTTGACACCCCTGTCGTAGATCCTGGGTGAAGAAGGGCTAGCCTCCAATATCCTTTCAAATTTTGTAATACTGTAAACATAATGCATAGGGGGGGAAACAGCTTTCTAACCATTCTGATTTTTTTCCTTTTCCAATAGGATTCAGTTATAATTAATAGATTAAAATGAAAAATTTATTCAGACAAGCTGGTGGTCCTTTTGGCAGATTTAATCATTAGTTTTCATTCTTGTGATGAGACAAGTTTAGAGTATCATTGAAAATAAGTGTAAGACTAGTTTGTATAATTTAAATGTCTTCGATATGGTTCTTTCCCAATTTTGTCTCAATATTTGGAGCTTAGGAGGTTGAACACAACAGTAACATCTGTTAAAATAAAATCTGTATTTTGCCTGTAGACCTCACGACCCAGATTCATTTGTCAAGTCTCTATAACATCAATATTTCTGTTTAATTAAAATATGTTTATTTTCTCAGGCAAATGTAGTACATTTTCTCTTCTATGGAATTGGCTGCTGAGTTACTGCTTGCTTAGTAGTTTTATAGCTCATTTATCATAAAAATGTGAATTGCTGAAACAAATATATTTTAATAAAAAGTGGTATCTGGGGAAAAATAGAGTTTTATGATTAATAATATTTATTTGTCTATAAATATAGGTCCCATGTCCTAGTGGTGCAGATATCAAAAAATTGTTAACCAGTAGAGAGGTATCAACCAATTATAAACAAAGGTACACAGGAGTAGTGCCCTCCAATCTTTTTATTATTTCTGATGATGAAGATGCATTAGCAGCAATCAAGTGGCTGAAAGAAAAAGTGATTGATTCCACAGGTAACGGCTTTATGAACTACTACATGAAGAGAGCAGAGGTTTATATATTTCTTGGCAAGTTGTATCTCTATTTCTAGCATATAGCTATTTCTAGCATATAGCTATAGCTTAATTAATCTTTGCAAACTGTTTCATCTGCTCTTATTTATTGTACAGATTAATTTACAATTTACTGTCAATTTTGGAGACATTTATATTTTTTACCTGGAACAAAGACAAAGTAAGAATTATCTGTAATTACTTTATGAAATTAGATTAAATGAGATGAAAAACCCAAGCACAAAATCTGGGATTGTTAATTAACACATGAGATAGTAATATCATTAGTAAATGTTTTTTGCAGCTAGACACAAGTTTTTCTTAGACTGAAAAAACTGAAAAGAAAAGAAAATTTGGCTTTGGAGAATTTAATGTAGAACTAGCTGCATAATGTAAAAGGTACTACAGTTGGCTAATGCCATGCGTGTTATGTTTATATGGATACTAATGCAGCCTTTCATTAAGTTGCATGTACCTGATTTACCAAGACGGATTCTATATTTGGGTTGGGTCCTGTAAATCCAGGGCTTTTTTTGTAAAAAAAAAAAAAAAAGGTGCCGGAACTCACACATGCCTACCTGCCTTGCCTACCCTACAAGGTTCCATTCAAAAAAGGTGCCGGAACTCCGTTCTGGGCGTTCTATGACAAAAAAAAGTCCTGTGTAAATCTACCTATATTTGCACGACCCAGAAACGGAATGGCATTACAGAAATATTCAAAGCAAGCAATGGTTCTGCTTAATGTTTCAGTATATAGATATGGAATGAGATCCCACTAAACTTCCTTTAGATTTCTACTTTTCTACTTTTAATCAATTTCTGTAAAGCAACTAATTATCATATAAGCTGCCTTATGGGAATCAGTGAATTTCTGTTGCTAATTGCTGATAATCTGGGAATTAGAAAATATATGCATGGCAGAAGATTTGGATGCAAAGAATGGATTCATTTTAGTTACATTTATTGCCTTCATTTCCCCAAATAATTTCTTACTTGTTCTTTTGTATAGCATATTTGTTATGCTACATGGCGCAAAACGTATCGCCAGGTATTGGACATAAAACATAACCTGAATCTTGTACTCAGCTTGTGCTGTCTGAAGTCGTAGGTGCCACTGATTGCACCTATTTGCCTCAGATGTGTTACTTTTGTCAAAAGCACAGTTCAGTTTTCTTTCAGTGACCGTTGGTGCTGAAGGAGGAGGGAGTGGTATGTTCTGAGCTGGAATTAGGCAATTAGATAGTCCTCGACTTACAACACTTCATTTAGTGACCATTTGAAGTTACAACAGCATTGAAAAAGGTGACTTATGACCATTTTTTACACTTACAAACATTGCAGCATCCCCCTGATTGTATGATAAAATTCGGATGCTTGGCAACTGACTCATATTTATTAACGGTTGCAATATCCTGGGGTCAGTGATCACCTTTTGTAACCGTCTGACAAGCAAAGTCAATGGGAAAGCCAGATTCATTTAACAACAGTGTTACTAACTTAACAACTGCAGTGATTCACTCAACAAAGGTGGCAAGAAAGGTCGTCAAATGGGGCAAAACTCACTTAACAAATATCTCAGCAACAGAATTTTTTGGTTCAATTGTGGTCATAAGTCGAGGACTACCTGTAATTGTTTCTTTTGCAACTGGCTCCAGAACTGGCTGCTAACAGCTGCTCATTATTAGCCCTTTTTCTTTTGAGCTCCCTTATTTCCATGTTGGAAATAGCATTGAGTGTGTATTAATTCACTCCTTCAATGTGGAGTTTCTCTGCCAGATTACCTCTTTTTTTAAACTTCTGTTTCTGCAATGATAGATGCTTTCAATTTCTCCTTACTGACTCTTTTTGTTGGACAAAACTTTTGAGAAATGATCAGATGGCAGTCCTAGAATCCTCTGCTCCTTTTTCATCCTTGCTGTGTACAGTAAAGAAAAAGAAGATCTATACTATAAGGAACCAGGATTTTTATGGATATACAATACCATTTCATATGCCCATTCATAATGAAGTGGTTGTATGTTGATTTTTGTAAAACTAAACAGAATACTTTTTACACCTTGCTTTGTTTATTGCAAGTGTGATGAATAAATTTACTTGTACTGATATGTCTTTTATTTGGGGAACCAAGTCTTATCTTTTGAGGAGCAAGTGATGGGGTATATGATACGGTGTACAATCTCCTGCTCGTATCTGCAATTACGGGAAAGATGCCTTTTCAATCTGTCTTGTTTCTCAGTTTAGTTTATTTGATTGATATTAGGAAAAAAATGCTTCTGCATTGACAAATCCGGTCAATTCAGTCCCATTTACTAATTACTTATTCTGTTAGATCTACCCCTTTGGGACCTGAGAGACAGAATGCATTCTGTGGGGGAAGAAACATAAAGAACATTTTGCATGCCATATTATTCAGGGAAACTGCCCTTACTTTTGCTCCTGACTTGATAGTAAGCAGTGCCATGTGTGCGTCCTTCTTTGTGTGTACGCTTGTGTGCATGTACTGTACATGTGCACACAAGTATAAAATTTTGTTTTTAAGTATCAGTATAAGTTTGTAATATTAGTTTTTTTAATATACAGAATGCACATTTGCTGCATTCATATAATCCACCTAACAATCTCCTAAGTTTAGGTGATGAAGAAAGGCTGTGTTTACATATCACTGAACCAAAAATTGCTGTTTCATCTTAGCCAAAATTTGTTGCTGTGTTGTACAAACTTATAAATTACAATAAATTGAATGCAGCTTTTATTTAATTATTTTTTAAATTTATGTTGACATGCAAAAAACCCCTATAATGCCAACAAGAAAAATGATACTGATTGATTCATTGAACAAAAGAAAGTCCCTAAATATATTATAATCATTAAAAATTTGATAAAGGAAAACTAATTAACAAAGGGAAAAAAGTTTGATATAATAACCAGGCATATAAAATTAATTCAACCGTTAAGCTTATTATTAAATCTAGACTATATAAATATTTCTTCATCTCATTTTTAGGATAAAGGAAATTTTCAAAAATAGATAGTAAACTTATATCTTAATCCATTTTACAATATTCTTTGACTGTCCAATAAATACATAATGTTTTTGATGAATTAATTTAAATTTCAAATTATAAAAAATATGTTTTACATTTCTTAACACCTCAACTCATTAAAAACTTTGGATATTCCAATTCTTTGTCTATACCTACAAAAATCAGAAGTTACTTTTTTATCACTATCATAATTGTGAATGGTTGCTGTCCAAGGCAATTGTTAAACATGGACTATTTGTACCATCTAGAATTGGCTGATTTATAATTATTAAATTTCCCATTTATAGTCACTAAAGCCTGGTCTGAGATTGCAGGGGAACATGTTGAAGAATCCCTAAGCCAGTGGTGGCGAACCTATGGCACGGGTGCCAGAGGCGGCACGCAGAGCCCTCTCTGTGGGCACGCGTGCCATCGCCCCAGTCCTAGGCCTTCAGCTGGGTTTTATAAAACCTTTTCGCTTTAGGCCTCCGCCGCTGTGTACAAAAAAAAAAGGTTCAATCAGTCAATTTCAACTTCTCGCGGGAAAAAAAAATCTTGCAAAGTTGGAATTGATTGAACTTTTTAGTCCCACCCAGTCTGCCATTACCACCACAGCCACGCCCACCCAATGGGCCACACCCACCCAATGGGCCACACCCACCCGGCACTCGACGATGCATAAGTGGGTTTTGGGTTGCAGTTTGGGCACTCGGTCTCTAAAAGGTTTGCCATCACTGCCCTAAGCTGATCTACCAAGGCAGAACAAATGCAAATATAATCATGTTGATATCTGTGACTCCTAAAAGCCCTAAATTGAGGTGAATAAATTATATACTGATAGTTTACAGAATATAATTTAGAAAAAGGCTTTGAATTATTTCAGGAATATTCTTAATGGGCCATAAAAGTAAATTAGAACAAGGGTGACAGTAGCTATCTTTGCTATCACAAAAATAATGAATCTTTCAAGTTGCAGTGTTGAGATACCACATCAGTTTTTAAATTGCGTTTAGATACTTATATATGCTTTATTTGAATATCAATTAATATTAGTTTGTCCATTCCCAGTTCTAGGTCTCAAAAAGAGGTGTCATTTAATAGAATATGTATTTCTTGCAAAGTAATGTTCTCAGAATGTATAAATCTAGGTTGTTGCAAATTGTTCCTTTTTAATAGTTAATACCATAAGTGTAATTCAACAGAGAAATGTGGGGCCTATAAAGATCCATGGTAGCAAAAGGTATTATAAATCTTTTGATTTGTCCAAGAGAGACAAAAAAATTAGATTGTTTGTAAAGGGAGATCTAGATAAAACATAACTTTACATACATGGTATTTCAGTTTGGTAGTTTGTCTCAAAAGATGTAAAATCTGGTCCCTGGTATTATAATTTATTGCTTATAGGGGAAAACATAGGGGAGGATTCCCCTGACATAGGGGAGGATTCCCCTATGCATTCTTCCATGTAATTAAATAAAGATTTCTGCTGCTCAGTATCAAAAGTAGATTGTTTCTAATTATTTCTGGTGAGTTGCCCATGTATTTTAATTAGTACAGTTTGAAGATTTGTAATATATTACATGAAATTGATCCTTTTCTTCTAAGATCTTAATTCAGTGGCAATAATTCTCTTCAGAGTTTCCAAATCGTCTTCAAACTAAAAAGCATGCACTTCCGGGTTTTAACATTTCCATGGATCATAAGTATGCCAGTTTCCAAATTTGTAAATGTATTGTCCATCTGTTTAGAAATTGATTGAATTTTGAATGTAGTTACTTAAATTAAATTTACCCAATTACTAGCCAACAAAAAGGGAGCACAAATTCTCAGCTGCTTCTTGATGAAAGACTATGGGGCCTCCACTGTCTTTATGAAATGCTTCAGGGCAAATTTCATGCTAGTCTCTCATTTTGTGTTGATTCAAGTATTGGTGGCTGCCACTTTAGTTCAGTAGTGGGGAGAGACCGATAGATTTTTAAAAATCAAATTGTCATAATTTGCCTAAGATATAAATAATATATAACTAAGTGTGGTTTCCTTTTTTAATCACTGAAACCATTAGATATGGGAACCTTACACTTTACACAACAGATTTATCTGCTAAGAATGTGTAAAAATGACTCACAGCCAAGTCATGAGGTCCAAGATTAACATGGCAGTTTTTACAGGATATAGCATTCTAAAATCCAAACAGAATGTGAAGGTACCAATGGGAACAACTCAGTCAAGATTTAAGAAGTGAGCTCTGTCCTTGAAAATGGGGTTAAATGTTAAAAGTAATACTAGCTAGGATCATGAGGAGACACAAGGCATCCCAGATTACTTACGAGGCAAATCAGTATATTATAGCCATTAAGGCAAGGCTAGAAACACACAACAAGATTCAAAGTTTGTTTTAATTTCAAACATAAGTTTCAAAGGACTAAATGATTTTGGACTAAATAGAATATTTTTATTGCTTTTCCTCAGTAGAAGGTATACAGTTATCTAATACAAATTCCAAAAATCAAATGTAATTGTATTAAAATAAAACTGAATTAAAGGAAGTACTAAAGTGCTAAAAAATTAAACTTAAGTTTATCATTACATTATAAAACTATTTTGCAAAAGATATAAAAATAAAGCAGTGTCCTTAAATAGAGTAATATAAAATGACATAAAAATTAGAGTGACCAAATCGCATCTTTTATTTCTCATTTGTTTCACAAAATACCACTTATCTATCAATCATGTGATGATAAAAACTTTGGAGCAGAATTTGGTAACTAAAGCTGATGTCATCATGGTTTGAAAAATAAATATATAAATCTTTTTTAATCTATAAAGAAACATATTTAGAAATAAAATACACAGTTAAATACAGGTGATAAATTTAATCATAACATCAGCAGTATGAAATTTATCATTCACAATTTCAGCTGTTCCAGAGACAAAACATCTCTGTAAAGAGGATATATTGGTAACTTATTTCAGTAAGACTGAACATAGCATGTTAAAACATGAAACGACCTACAGTATTTTGCAGTAACACATCTATATAGAAACTTAGTCAGGATGGGACAAAGGATTTCCCTTTTAAATAAAAGGGAAGCACCTAAAATTCTTTCTGCAAACTGATATCTATTATTTGCTACTTAATCAATTCTTTAGCTTTGGTAAAACTCAAAAATGCATGGCTAGTTTAGATAGGCTTTGTAAATTTACTTCCAAAATCGTATTCCAGATTGAGGAAATATATCTAATACTGTCAGTCAACATGAGCTCTTGAGGAAAAATGCTAATCTAAGTCAATAGATCTTAGGTCTACTTAGATTTAAGCCATAACATTAACTAGAGTTATTCATTATTCATTTTCATAATTTTTGCACTACTTTTAATTTGCAAATACCAAAATTGTTTAGAAGAATATAATATATTTAAAACTATATATAAAGTGCAAAAACAGCTTTTTAAAAATCAACATTCAATTACTAGGTTGGCTGATAACATCAAAAGAAGGTCTAGGCAAATAAATAATTTTCAAATTTTGGTAACAACACTCTATTTTTGGAGTTCACTGACTCCAAATAAAGTTTTTTCTACAATGTGGGCACCGATACAGAGATTGTTTGTCTTCATACTCCAACTGAATGAATGTCAACAAGCCATAGTCCCATCAGTAGATCATCCTCTCCTGATTGTAAGGATGAGATAGGCCACTGTGGAAGGAAATAATATATAACAGTATATAACAACTATGTGTTGAGAGAAAGCTTCACTTTACAGTACAGTATTTACAGTATTTAACAGAATTTCAGTTTCTTTAGATTTCATATGCAATAACTTAGATGCCCACCATGTTGGATAGAGAGGGTGAGAATTGCAACCCAACATTTCTGGGGTTACATTAGTGAAAATGGATCTAGAAGGCCACTAATATCTTATGTTCTGGTGCCTCTATTTTATTGATTTCATTACATTTGACAGAGAACAGATAGATGAGGGATAAATAAGTTCTCTACTTGTAAAGAGAATTCTGATGGCAATGTTTTTCCTTTTCTTTTTTCAAATTTCCCATCATACTTAAACTTTATTGTTTTTATTTGGAAATCTTATAAACAAAAATAGAGGGTGGCTGGCTAAAGTGATACGATAAAAGATGGTACTTTTTTCCCTTTCCTCTTTTTCCAATGGATCTCAAACAAATGAAGTTTCCCTGCTTTGATGAAAAGTGTTTCCTATTTCTGGAATATATTCTGCAGATTTTTTAGTAAATTATTTTTAACTGTTATTGTTAGGTAATTCTGTTTACTTCATAGTATCAGAGCAACAAGGAGGTCACAGATAACTTCAGATTTATCATATTAATTATATTAATGAGGTTTATTCTGTTTTTTTTCTTTTGCTTTCTCCAGGGAATATTATTGTCTATGGGAATACAATTGATGTATACACCACTATAGAATCCCTTTTATCGTTAGGAATTAGTGGCTATTGTATACACCTTGTGCACCCTCCCTCGAACTCCAATATTACTTCTCTCAATAACAACGCAATAGAAAGAGCTATCAAGAAAGCACTGTCCAGGTCTGGTGTAACTGAACACCATGATAGTCTATTGGCTCAGTGGAATGATGGCGATCACCCAGATCCAATCACATGTGCATCTTTCACTACTAATACAAAGGCATTTAAGTTGCAATGTTCTGTAAGTATGTGCCTTTGCTGCATTTTAATATATATCAACTGAACAATTGGAACAGGCTTGAACGCTAGAATTCTGCTTCTGGGTCTGGCTATGTCTGAAACCTAGCTTGAACTTCGGATATGAATTGTATTTTAGTCTTTGATTACGCTATGTTTTAAGTTTTAACCATAACTGTATTGGTTTGCTTGATCTTACAGAATAAGCTAGTTTTGTCTTACAGAATAAAGTAATATAATAGCTATAAAAATATGGCAAGCAATAGAATCAGGATGAGTACTGGTTCTAACCAAATTATGCCAGCAAATTCAGACAATGGAAAATAGATGTAGCAAATAAATTGGAAGAAATTCACATCTCAGTACCAAATAAAATTAAAAGAGTTTGCCAGCTATCATACATATTCCTAACTTCATATACTAGCAAACTAATCCTTGTCCAATGCAGATTTGAGCTCTATTTGAAAAGGGAGATGTCAGATGTTCTTTTTTTAAAAAAAATATTCTTAATTATAGTAAAGCTATAAAATAGAGAAAAGATTAATAAAAATAAAAAGAGAAGAAAAGAAAAATAAGAAAATATGATTTCTACCCTCTTTTCTATCAAGTAGTTGCCATCTTACTTACTCTTTCTCCTTTCTTTTTTTCTCTTACTTTGTAATTCCCTTCCCCTCTACTTTTAACCCTTTTTGTTCCCCAAATCCCTAAATCATCAATTCAATCTTTTATTCTTTCTACAGAAAGTCCATATAAGATTGTTAGTCTTTCAAAAACAGGTTTAATTTTTTTTTCATGGTAGCAAAATAATCCTTAGGTTTGTCTAATAGGGAAATGGAGATGCCGGATGTGCAGTCTGGTTTTAGAAAAGGCTGAGGAACTGATGCACATTAGATAATTAAGAAAACCAAAGATACTAGAAATAGGTGAATGCATGCTCATTAATTATAGAGAGGCCTTCAGTCATCACATCAAGATGTGGAATGTGCTTAGAAAAATGGGAATCCCAAAACATCTCATTGTCTTCATGTGAAACCTATACCCAGACCAGGAAGCCATAGCATAGACAGAACATGACAAAAGAAACTGGCTTCAGGTTGGCAAATAAATAAGGTAAAGTTGTTTAATATAGACATTGGTTGATCAATTGATTGATTGATTCATTCATTCATTCACTCAACCTATATGTGAAATATATATGGAAGAAAGCTGGACTGGAAGAAAATGAGAATGGTTTTAAAAATGGAGAAAGAAACAGCAATAACTTGCATTATGCTAATGACCTTGATACATGAAAATGCAAATAATTTGCAAGCTGTAGTCCTGAGAGTAAAGAAGCAAAATGAAAAAAGAGAGAATTATGATTAAATGTACTTGACAACATGTACCAGCCTTAGAATTAACAATGAAGATACTGAAGAGGTAGATAGCTCAACTGGTAGCTATCTCACTGGTAGTAGATAGATGATCAACTGTCTACTATTTAGAATCAACAGTAAAGAAGCCAGCAGTCAAGAGATACACTGCAAACTGGTGCTTGGTAGAATAGTCATTAAGGCCCTGGAAAATATATTCAGGATGTGTCTAAACCTACAAAGATCAAATTACGCAGGTAATGGGTTTTTCGGTTCCCTGTTCTCTGCTTTTGGGAGGTAACT